CTATCTGTTAATTGATCATAAATATCCCATTAAGCCATTGGGATATTGGTGGGTCAGAATATGAGATTCTTAGAACTCCTGGTACATTAACGAAGTTTCTCTAAACCCGTTTTGGTTTATTTTATGTGTCAACTTATAATTGTAATTTTTAACATGCATTGAAATTATGGATAATGTGATATGATGTCAAGTTGGCAACCCACTTATGAGGCATAGTTAAAGATAACTTTTATCTACTGTGAACAACACACTAGCAGGCATTATAAACGCTTTTGTGACTTATGGAGAGAATCAGTTTATCACAAATATATTTGAATGGAATATTTACACTCAAGAGTAAGCTATTATTGATGTTGTCACCTTTAAATATTCATTTTTATTTGAGGTGAACTGATTAGTAAATATTGGGATTTGGGTTCCTATGAGGATGCCTCTAGACAGCCGGTATTCTCAGATTTGACATAACCGATTAATGGTTTCTAGCAATGGAATTCAGGACACGTGCTTCACTCTACTTAAGGCTCCTCACTTGGATGTTTCTGCCTCATATTCAGTGATGTTATCAGCACTAAGACTCGAACCCGGGACTAGTCGCTTTAATGGCTAGAGCCTTACCAGTTAGGTCAGTGAGTTACCTTGGCCAGGTAGGACAAAACACGCGACCTGGTTTTTACTGATAACTACTATCCATCAACAATATCAATGTTCAGTTATTTATTGTTGAGCGAAACCACTATATGTGATTACACTTCTAATTGAAATTATTTATTCACACGTTTACAGATAGACGTCATACATATGGTGTTCTCACTTTTCAAGTTTGTCCGTTTTTATCCAGCACTAAGTCTCATGTTGCTGACAGTTAAGAGTGTATTTTGGTGTAGCTTTAGGTGTGACATATATGAATGTGGATTTAGTCATTAAAAGTTTCTTTCCGTTTGTTCATTTGGGCTTCAAATGCATGCACTGTACCAATCAGTATCTCATTTTTCACTCCATTCATGAGCTGCTGTTCATGAACACTTTTCAGAAGTTGTATATTCTTGTGTCTCTGTGGGCTGACCATCAGTTAGTCGTCGATTTTCATTCGATCTGAATTTTACTGATTTTGACTTTTGACCAATATATTTAATTAGATAGTCAGCACGAGATATTTTATGCGCGAAGTTGTTTTTGTCGATTTTCTTATTAGAGATACTAGCTGGTTTAATTAAATTCTAATTTTATTGAGGTACATTGGTTTAGATATCTTTCAAACACTTTCTCTTCTACGATTTCTGCGTACTGTCTTGGATATGCCTTTCCTATATCATAGTATTCAACTTTCTTACCGCTCTCAGCTTTTGTTCTGCATGTTTTCTTTTTCTTGATATTATACTTTGTGAGTAATCTGCTTAGTTTCTTACCTGACGTTTTCTTTTCTCCACTGTGTAACCTCTGTTATGATGTCAAATTGTTCTTTCTGTGGTATTGTTGCTACCATTACTTTGACTAACTTTTTGTCATTCCTTTCCAAAACGATTTACCTGTCACTATGTTTAAGTACTACTTACAAATACATTTATAATAAAGTATTAACACTCCCTCCATCTAGATGTAAAACATTAACCATCATTAAATAAAATAATAAATTGTGTTCCATCGGTCTGAATCATTTCTTGACGAACATCTAAATCAGAGTAGTTATTCACTTGAAAATGTTGGATTGTTACCTCTTACAGACAGCAGTGAAAAAGTTTTGAGTAATTTCATTAAAACTAATGTCTACCATGGGGCGTATCTTACAGCTATCAGTAAAATTTTGAACTCCATTTCGTAAACTTATCAGTATTGACCTAAAATTCCAATGCACTGGTGAACTGACTTGCCTGAGATAAAATACTTGGTCATGATTATTGATAAGCAAAATTAGTATTCATGGGTACTAATCAATTGCACAATGTTACATTTGATCAACAGGTCAACGTTCGTTTAAGTAGATTCTTTTCAAGATAGTAAAGCATCTGCTATCAATGCTTCAAATACTACTTTTGGGAAGTATGATAGTTTTGTATGAAGTAAGACATGGTGTACATTTTCATTTCTGTCTTAGATTAAACTATATTGGAAAATAAGAAACAGTTAGTTTGATGTGGTTTGCAAAGTGAATATTTACATGACTTTATATACTTTTTTAACTTTCTCTGTTGGTTGTTTGCACTTAGGCATCCAGTAGGCATATTTCTGGTCAAAAAATAAAAACGGTTCACCTACTGGAAAAAGAAAAATTCGAAATTAATCCTCAAATTCCCTCAGGCTACATATAATCTAATTGGCGTTCATTCAGACGTTATTTTCAGCTAAAATACAGATTTTTTTCAATCTCCCCGTTCCATTACAGAGCAGACAGAACAGTGAAACTGGTGTATTATAAAAATCTGAAATATACACTCATATTTTAGAGCCTAAAAACATTTTTGCTGGAATTTCGTTGGAAAAAATAGGGAAACATGCTGATTGCGTTATATATATAAGGAAAGGAAGATTGAATGCTTAGAGATAATAAGAAAAAAGGCGAGGCCAAAAATTCATCTACATATGATGTAATACCGGTCAAGAGAGTAAAAATGCAGATATGAAGGCATTATAATTAAATTACCAAAATAATGAGATAAAAAATACTTAATAAAAACAAACATTTATTTCTGGTGACCTTATTGTTGTATTTACTGCAAATACTGATACTCATACTTTTTAGGGATTATTCTGAATGTATTTATGAAGTCTCCCTTATACCCGCATTTTATGCAATCACTATCGTCCGACAGCAGCAGACAGGCACCTTTTTAGTCTGCTCTACCCGTCCTCTTCAGTATGTAATACGAAGTAATTATATCTCTGATAAATATCATCAGTTACTCTTAGCAGACAGTGGAATGTGAAAACAATTGGTTTCATCTACATAATCACCTATTAAAGAGTCTTTTAAATATCAAGTATAGCTCATTAAAAAAATATAAAATGCTGCACACAAAAGCCGAAACTCACCACGAATATACAATGAATATGCAGGCAGTTTCGAGGCATCCTTACGAGAACCCATCCATCAATACAGTTTGAGCAGTTTGAACCAATATAATAATGGGGAATTACAAGCAATAATAATTAACTTATTACCTGTTGCACAAGAGGTGGCTTTTGCGCCTCAGTGGATAATGCTTTGGTATTTTAAGTGACGAGTACTGGGTTTGAGTCTTAATGGGAGCGTTGTTACTCACTGGGGTACAGACATATCTGGTGGATTGGTCCTAAATAGGACGGAGCGTGCATCCTGGATTTCATCGCTATCTACCAAGTAAAGTATAACCTAATAAGAAATCACTTTTTCCTCCGACAATGAGAACTGCCGTATCGATTACAATTTTGTCAGGTTTCAGATTACTGTACCACTGAGATTCATTCGTGGTAACCTAACTAAGCAAGATTGTGTATGTCAACAATGAAGATATTTTTCTGCAAACCAAAATATCTTCTCACTGTAAGAAAACTGGAATGATGTCTCTGGCATTTGCATATTTATTCACTTTCTGAATATTGATTGACTGTCATCAGATTTTTCAGTTCTCTGCGTTTACCTCCTGTTTTAACTCTCCTTTTTGTTTTTCTACACTTGTGAATTATTTTATCCTAATTTACGACAAGTAAAGAGTCAGGAAATCTTAATCTTTTATTTGTTCCTTTATTTCTGTATGCATGTAGGCAATTGATCCGAGTGGAGTTTTTCTTCACCCCTAGTCACTGTATATTTTCTGAAATTCATCCAAGTTTATTGAAGTAAAACACCTCTTTTCAAAATGTTGGTTTCTTATTGAAATAGCAAATTAATATTGGGCATGTTGTTAAATTTCTTATAAATCAGTTTTGTAAGTGTTGATGACTAAATCCGAAGAAAAATATCACTTCTGAGAATTTCATGTTCTCTAAAGTCTCAAAATCTAGTACTTATTCGAGTTTCACGGTTTAAATCTTTGTCAGTGAGTTGTCCAGGGTATAATCCTGCCACCAAACCATTACTCTGTGCACACAACTCCTCTGTGTACTAGCAAGAGGGGTTTTAAAATCAGTTTTCAATCTACCCTATCCTGTTTGACTGACTTGGCTCTAACAGGAACGAAAGAAATTGCATTACAATGTTTCTGCGTCAATGGTGAAACTGAAGCTGTTTTCCATTGTAAGTGATGAAATTTGTGGGATTGCTTTTTCTTTGGTTATACTTACAAATATCGGTAATACGCATCACGTTTTATCATTTATCATTTATCAGTAGAGACTAGGAAAACTGGTTAGTTTAAAGCGTATTATTTAAAAATAGTCACCTTCAGACAGTGTATTATGCGTAACGTACTATTAGCTAGTATGTTCACAAAAGTAGTCTTTATTTTATGCATATAGATAAAGTCAAGACTATAACTCGGCAAAAAGATATGTGAAACAATATTAAGGTACGAGTAGAGCTGCTTGCCTCACAAAATTCGAAGTATCATCATTTAAAGTTGCAACCTCAATCATTAAAAGGCGAAGTCTCAGGTTTTAGTCACTTTCATGTTTGTAGATGAATTCTTGTGGTCTACTTGGTTTTTAGGAATGGAATCCAAGACACAGGTTTCCTCCTATTTAGGATTCGTCAGCCTAATGTACTTACCTCCCAGTGAGCGATGTTTTATCCGTTGAGACTCGAACCCAGTAGCCTTCATTTCAGACGCCAAACTGATATCCATTGGGACTCTGGGTCACGAGTAGTAGTACCATGACATCCGCATAGCAACTCATTTACCAACAGAGGTCAAGCAATGAGACTCAGTGAAGTCATGTGGATGAATCTGAGTGTGACATCTTACTTTCATAGAAAGGTAGTTCAAAGTATCGAGTAAGATGACCTATAATTTCCCTACGAAGTTGAAAAACCACTCCACCATATTACCTCAGATTTTTATCTTAAAAGCTCACCAAATGATGAAAAATCATAAATTCTTCTTAAATCTTCTTTCTGACTGCAATGGTTCATTTTGAAGGTAAGTGTAGTTGTCATCAGATGAGCCTCCACCTCGATAATGCACACTACGTGATATATTTGTATTTAAAGAAGGCTGGTTTTGAAGATTTACAGCCAGTTGAGCAGTTGATGCAGGATACCGTTTGTCAGCATTTCTTTGTGATCGTGATGGAATCGGTGGAGCTCCATTGGAACTTTCAGAAACTGGTAGCATTTGTCTACCAACCCCAAGTCTTTGCTGTTCATTCAGTGTATTGGATCTGTAAGATGCATCAACAGGTGAGGTATCAGCCACTTCAAATTGATTTTCATAATATGCTGGTTCAGGTCGTTCTATTGAAGCAATCCAACTTGCTGCTGTATCATAGTTAATAACTGAAGTTTTCGGTGTTAATGAGGTATTTTGATTTACTGGTCGATAGGGTAGGAGTAGTCTGTTGAGTTCACGTTCCAGTTTATGCCTGAAGGTGTAGGGGAAGAAATAATTAACATAGATTTAGTGCATTGGATATTCGATCAACATTAGAAAATAGGAAGTGATAATTAGATTCTATGTAACGGTAATTGTAATAAGACTGATTAGTAAGGAAAATTGTCAGAGGTAGGAAAATCCGAACCCGTTGGATTCCGGCCCAAAGGCTGAATATCATTGTGGCCACCGTGCCACCCATTGGTCCTAGGCTTCATCCTTCACATGGCAATGAGTGTGTGCCTCTGAGTAGCCCCAAACTAAGACGAAACAGTTATTTAGTGCTTTCAAGTTTTCAGTGGGTCAGTTAGTGATGAATACTGCCTTAAAGCTAATCAATCTTGATACGATAACAAATGAATTAAGGAGAACGCCTTGAGTAAAACAGATACATTTAGGCGTCAATATACCAAGGAAAAACTGAATTTTATGCTATAGTGTGATCACGCTTCAAATTCTTTAAACAATGTCTATCTTCACTGATAGTATTCTTTGATCTACAAGTTATGACTTATTGCAGGCTCTTCATATTCAGATTATATCCGTATCACTATTAAGAGATTGGTATCTTTGGTAACCTAATAACTAAAGCACTAGCTGGTGTATGAAAATCAGAAGTTTCCTAACCAGGCTAGTCTACGTTGTTAGTTTGTTGAGCCCACATATAAGAAGAAAAACCTTCATGTGATACACACAGAGGAATTGATTTAGCAACCAACATAGTGTTTAAAATCTGGGAGCTGGAGAAAACAAACTTCAGAAAGCCAAGAAAATTTCTAACACCACTGAGGGTAAATCTTTCATCTTCCTCCTTGTATAGGATTCTGAACACAGGTTTGTCCATCAGAAGCAACTGCCAAATCTTTTGACCTGAATGATCTATTCAACTCCGTCGACAAAGGCATGCTGCTTTAGTGTCTGGCTTTGAAGAGAATACGGAGTCTTTTTATCGTTGGAACCAAGACTTTTCACTTAAACTTTCGCAGTCGTGTTGAGGGGAAATGTGAGCTGTTATCAGATGAGAACTTTCTGACTTCTTTTAGGGATCGACTGACTGTCCTGAGATTATCTAACGAACCTCACGTGTGCAATTAAACCTGAAGTAATTCAGGGTTGGACTAGACTGTTTCGTGGTTGAAGTTCATTACCAGTGAAGAATCTTTGGATCTTGTTCGAAGGTCTACTACATCTCTCAGCTTTCCAGGTAATCACAGTCAAGGGATCATAAGGCCTTAAAATGAAGCATGAGCCTAAGACTGGTCTAAGTGATCCGTACTATAGAGAAAACAGGTAAATTTCGTAAGCGAAGGTTTTGGAACCCGGTCTATTAGTTTTGCACAATACCTCATAACTGCAGTTTAACATAACGAAGAAGTTCCTATTCCTGCCTTGAAAATTTCACAGGATTTATCTCTTTTCATGTCAAGTTCACCTACAAGATGGTTTCAATGGTTGTTGCCTCTTTTCCTAGACGATAGTTTTAACAGATAACCATGATCTTCAGTTGTCGTCACTGCTTGTCAGTACATTTAAAAATTGGTGAAAATGTGAGGAAAAAGGAAACTGAATCTCTCATTGTATATTATTACCTTCTGCGTAATCACTTCAACAGTTATACTCGCAATGCTTAAATATGCATGTTTATAAGTATTCAATGTTAGGCAGTGAAAGATTGATTATTGAAAACTACGCTTCCGGGTTTCGCTCTCGTTGGGACTCACCTACAAGGCCTGTTTGCCATCCCGAGAGAATCCTTATCATCTTGAATATACAAATTCATAACACCACAGGATTGTAAGTATGTCTTACTGATGAGTGGCAGTAGGCATCGACTTGTAGCTCGGTGGTTCAAGGAGTGGAATTCCAACCAGTGGGCTATGGGTTCGAGCACTGTCCCACCTGTCATGGTTCGGGAAGCTAGGTGGTATTATTAACCCTCACACAGAAGTTATGGTCCCTTACCTACCTCATAATTGTGCGCAAGGTTGTTGTGTGTACTTCAATTTGATTCGACAAATGACAGTGGTTCACTGAAGAAAGCTTATCATTCTTCATGAATATGATTTTAACCTGATGAACAATGATTGTGCATTGTAACTTGGAACAAAGTAAGAAAGAAAGTAGGTTTAAAGGCTACGAAAAATAGGAGATACAGTAAGTCCTGATGGGATGAACAAACTCACATGACATATTCGCATCTGTGATTGAAGTTAGACAGGGATTTCAAATCGCAGTTATATACAAAACCTTAACTGACGATGTTCAGTGTTCTGAGAAAAGACTAGGCGAATTCTCGAGATAGGACCTGTCTCTTACTTGTGACGCCAGGGAGACAAGTGGACCAATATTAATTCAAAAGATTTATCGGAACCAACAATAACGATGCTGCTTGTCTTAACAGCAACACATTTATCAGTTAATAATCAGAATCGTATGAACAATAAGAGTGACCCTGTTATCTGTTTTCAAGTGATCTTGTACTGCGGTAAAGCACCTAACAGACATTGTGATAATTTGTTGGGTGTTTTATTGTTACCTAATAAGATAGTAAAAGGAAGGGTTAATCATCACCGATCCCATAGTCATCAAGATGTTGTTAGCTTTATTATTGTAACCTACCTCATTTGTGCATCTGAATTTGGTATTTGTAAGATCAAAGCAAGTGAATTTGCATCGAAATCAGGATCTAATGCCATCAAAGCACCATGTACACCGGAATCAATTAGATTTTTTGCATATTCATTGAAACCTATACTCCGAAGCCATGTGATAACCTGCTCATTACTCCATACAAGTAAGTCTAAAATTTACAAGGAAAAGTATACCAGTTTAAGATATGTTTGTACGCTTTAACACTTTAGTTAGCCAAATTGAAGTGGGAAAGTTAAAATTACCAAATATCCTGAGTATTTTCAACAATTATTCTAGACTGGTAGGTGGAAGTATCGACTGAGATATTTTGGAATTGTTCGAATATTCCTTCCTACATTATTATGACTGTGTTGGTTTCAGAGTAGGAAGCTTTATATCATTAAATGCCACCACAGTTATCTACTTCCTTCCTAAATTTACTAAGTGCTTGATAATATCTAAAATGTAGAGTAAGATTTGGAGGTTTGTGGGGATTATTTGATCTCAAGTTAGTATTCACCACGAACTAACTTCAGTTGGAGAAGCTTTGGAAAGCTTTGTGAGCTGAGCAGTTGCACTGTACTAATATGAATTTTCTCCATAGCATGTACCCATGACTTCACAAGGTATCAAACGTAAGGTCTTCAGGTTCGATGGAGAGCATACTGCATTAAGCGCTGGGTCGGAGTCCAGTCGTCCACGTTTTCCTTCATCTGTAGAGCGGCGCGATCTGCATCTCATGCTATCGTGGAATACCGGGCCTTACGTCCGATTTGGTTTGCCCCGCTGGTCATGACCTTGTTAGACTCTAGGGGGAATGTCACCTAAAAACAAGTCGCTAACGTGTGCTTGGTAATAATTCAACTTATATGTTTGTGGGGATTTATTGATTTCAAGTTGGTATTCATCCCAGACTGACATGTTGCTTTCGAAAGCACGAACCTTCTTCACCACTTTTGAAAACATCAGTAGTAAAGCTTAGGGGATTTTTGAGATTTCGGACCGGTAACTGGCAGTTTATAGTCATTGACGAAGTGAGGAAAACCATATTAGTTTTCTTTGCAGCTGTAGTAGAGATAAGTGACTGACTTAGTCTTTAAGATTAAAACGTTCAAAAATTATCGTCTTTTAATGGGAATATCTGATATGGTTATGGCTTGGTAGACCTGCGTTATTGATAGCTGATGATAGTAGAAGTTGAATGAGGACCTGAGTCGTAACACGATTCAAACCAATGGTGCCTATTTTACAGTTAGGGGCTCTACCAACATAGCTACGAAACCCAGCTGTTAGAGGTTAATCAACTTCACTTCAATCACCTAGGGTTTTGCCCAACTACTACAGGAATTTATGGTACATGACTGTTTATTCGCCCATATCACACATTCTGACAACTGAGTCTTTTACTCCAGTAGAAATCGAGCCGAATTATAGAGCGAAGCTGATATCGATTATCAATGGGACTTTAGTAGTCTAGTTGACTGTTGCTTTTTAATGCTAAAAGATAATTAAAGATTGAATGAAGTGAAAATTATCTAGATATTATGAAGAAGCATGCCATGAGCAACATCTGAAAACATGTTTGCAAATCATTTTTTCATCAATTAACGGAAAATTGTCCTCTTAACCAGCCAATGTTTGCAATTTGTTTTTTCAAGCTTGGAAGACAGAAAATACCATTTCCACTTCACACCATTTCATGTCTACCGACCCATGTATTCGTGCAAAACGGCAGTTTATCGGACTAACTCAACACTACATCTGAGAACTTATTCATAAATGCCATAGAACCTATTCAACAGGAGTTGTAGAAAACAACAAACAGAAGCTGATTTTCACACATTCTTCACCCTCAATTAAGATCAAATTTATAATTGTGTTTTCTCCTAACTCCAGCCTGTGGTGACTATTTTGAGCTTTCGAACAAGAATATTTTTTACCACGGTTTAAAGACATATTTGATTTTCTCAGAAAATCCTCATTGTCTTCAGTATATGAATGCAGATTTGACCTGAAATAATGTTGAGTTTATGGCATAACCACTCAATGGTAAAATATGAAGGGAAGAATTTTTAGACAGGTTATCACAATCAAGTTAAGACTTTTTTACTCATACCTTGTTAGAATAAGGTGATCTTGATAAAATATCTTTTTTTAATAGTTAGTAACTGTCTTATAAGAAAGGCATCGGAGCAGAAGGAAATTCAAGAAAATTTTTAAACTTAAATTATAATTTGAAAGCTAATCAGAGATACTGAAGGCACAGTGTTTAACTTCAGTCATGATATTAATGATGGATAGTCACTAGGAATGAAATCTAAGATGCACGTCCCATCCTGTTTAGAATTCGTTTTCCGGATGTACCTGCCTCCCTGTGAGTGATCATTCCTGATAAAACACGAAACCTGAACCAACTGCTTCGAAAGCCAGGGATTTATACACCAGGTCACTGAGTTATGACGGCCACTCTTCGTGTGACTGTTATCGTTTAGTCTTTTTATGCTATATTCTATGAATCTCCGCCACTGACCGATCAATTTGGTTCAGTCAGTGACGAAAATTTACAAGCTATGACGCCAAATAATATGTATAACTTCACTTGTGTTCCTGAATGGATGTACAGTTGTTTTTGGGAAGCTTATCAATCTATACAACTGATATAAGCTTTTGGATTTGTCTGCTGCCTTGATGCAAGACATGGTAGTTAGGTTCTTATTGTAATACCGAACAACGTAGTACACTTTTGATTATCCTGCTTGACGTAGACTGAACATTGGAAGCCCCAAAAATTCATTCAAACTGTCGACAAATTTTATTTCGTAAAAGTTCACTGTATCCGTTATATCACAAAAATTCAAAACCACTTAGGAAATAACTCAGTAGTCAACGTAGAAAATAATGTTTACTGAAACCAAAATTCCTAAGTTACTCACTTAACCTCTTACCATCTAAAGTATTTTGACATGCTTCACGACGGCGTTCAATTTCAGCACGATCATAATCCAAACGTTTAAGACACATTATCCCATAGTATAAACTTAGACGATGAAATTGATCCACCATTTTTAAGTGAAGCCTCAGATCACGCTTAGTTAGATGACTTAACATGCGGGCATCGACGAGACACTCCATAAATGCTGACCTATATCTGGCTAAACCGAGACTTGGTAACCAGATATTCCCAATCCATTCATGATTCAATTCACCCTGTTATTTTTAAAAGAAGAAAAATGGTTATAGAGCATTATTTAGCGAATTTGTCATGACGAATCGCTATCCATTAGGTAACTGCTAATCTCTTTGTCTGTGGAAGGACTCTGAAGCGTTGTACTCTTAATCCAATTAATTTTACAAATTTGTATTTTGTATGGAAAATATTACAGAGAAATTCTATGCAGTCAATGATCTAGCTGAGCACTGAAGACATGAGTTTTTGGAATATGCAGGTAAGGTCAGGGAGAAATACAAAGGAGATAAACGTATTAAATTGATCAAACTTCTGGAAAATCAAACTCTAGAGATGTGGTTTCTGTCAAATTCAGGTCAGTATGTACAAAGTTTCTCCAGTCTTGGTTGTAAAGCCATGCATTTCGAACTAATGCCCTGTAGTACTAACTTCTGTTATAGTAACAATATGGTTCATAAAATGAATCTATAAGTACAGTCTGAAAACCTTGATATACAGACAGAATGACTGGTATCATCCTTCAGTGAAGAAGTTGAGGAACTGCTGTTGACTGCTGTTAAAAGTTTGTAAGCATTAGATACAAGACGAAAAGCACTCTGATGTTTATTATTATTATTTGTCCTTTGGGTTCCTAGTGAAACATAGGGCTTCATTAGCACGTCACCATTTTAATCTCTTCTCTCCAGTCTTTTCAACCTGGTTCCACGACAGCCCACAAGCTCTCATTTCTTCCTCACATGGTATCCTCCATGTCACCGCCTCGGACGCCAAACTCGTTGCTTCCCATCTGCGTTCCACTCGAGGGCCTGGCCTGATGCGTGATGTCCCCAGTCGGCATTCTCAGTGTTTGCCCAATCCATTTCCACTTCCTTCTGCATATTTGTTCAGCAATAGCTACTTCGCTGATTTGTTGACAGCCAGCCAGAGTTCCTTGTTGCTTATTCCTATTATTCTGCCCATCTGAGCTTCAGTATCGAACCACCGTAGGCAGTTGGTAATGAATGTCTGTAGTTTGTTGGAAATGTTTTCGTAACCTGCCAAATCTCTGAACCATACAGAAGCACTGACTTGACGTTGGTGTTGAAAATCCGAATTTGTTCCACACACTGATTTCAGGCTGATGAACGCCTGTCATGCCGTCTTTCCGATCCTGGCTTTGACATCCTCGTCTGTGAGGCCCCCTGTAGTTGAAAGAGTGCTGCCTAGATAGGTAAAAGAGGCTATTTCCTTTACGTTTCTCCCGTTGATGGTGATTGGAGCTTTATGGTGTTGTTGGTGGTGTTGGTTGGGTATCCTCATCACCTCTGACGTCTCTACATTCACTTCAAGTCCCGTCTTCACTGCCTCTTCTGTCAACTTGTTAGTTTCTGCCTGTAGATCTTCGGGTTTGTGTGACATCAGACACAAGTCATCGTCGAAATACAAATCTTCTATGATATTTTTCCCGATCCAGCGTAAAGCCTCTTCTCGCGCCTCACTGTTCATTGCATGATCCAATCCACTACAATCAAGATTGTCATGGGTGATAGTTGACAGCCTTATCTAACTCTTACGTGTCTTCACTTCAAAGGTATCACTGAGCTTCCCATTGTGAATTACCTGGCATGTGCGATCTTCATATAGTTGTTGAATGAGATTGATAAAGGTTTGTGGTATTCCGTAGTGCTGAAGTAACTGCCAAATTACTTCTCGTTCGACGCTGTCAAAGGCCTTCTCAAAGCCGATAAAGTTGAGGTGAAGATCTAGTTGAGCACCATTCTATACTCTGTTCTATGATGATGCAAAGCGTTGCAATTTGGTCCACACATGATTTACACTTCCTGAATCCAGCTAGCCAGCCTGTTCCGGTCGTAGTTTTGAATCCAGTGCATCCTTTAGTCTCTCCAGGATGATGCGGCTTAAGATTTTGCTTGCCTTGGGTGGACAGGAGTGGAGCGTGATTCCACGCCAGCTCTTGCAAACACTGAGGTCTCCATTCTTCCGCAGTTTGACAAGGTATCCCTTCTTCCAGTCAGTGGGCAGGTACCTTCCCTCCCTTCCACACCTTCTGAAGGAGTGGTGTGAGCATGCACACCGTTGTCTCTGTGTCTGTTCTCAGTGCTTTTGACGGGATCCCATCTGGTCCTGCTGCCTTCCCACATTTCAGTAGCTTTGTGGCCTTCAAGACTCCGACTTTCGTCGGAGGGTTTGTGTTCACTTGTAGTTCTGTGGCTGGGCTGCAGGTGGTATTTCTGAACGAAGTGCAGGTGGTGCTGGTGGTTGATTCAAGAGCTTCTTGAAGTGGTCAGCCCATCGCTTCCTTTGTTTCTCTTTTCTCCTAACTAGACTTCCTTCATCGTCTTTTATTGGTTTCATCTGTGTTGATCTCTTCCCTCCCAGATAGTGAGCTGGTTATTTGATATAATGTTGTCAGGTCTCTATCTCTCCCACCTACAGCCTGTTCTGCTTCACTTGCCAGTGTGTCGTAGAAGTGTCTCTTGTCTTTGCGCGCACTCTTCTTCACTTCTTTGTCCAGTGTAGTATTTTATACATTGTACTCACTTCCTCTTCTCGTTATGCATCCTTACACTGTACTGGTTTGTCTTCTGCTTCACCATCCTCCTCTCCCTGCTCTATCAGCTTCCAGGTGTCCATCGAGATCCATTCCTTATCTTTTTTCTTCTTCCTTCCTAATACGGCTGTGTAGGTTTCTTTCCGCATAGCTTTCAAAGACTTCCAGTGTTCTTCCACACAGGTTTCTTCAGGGATGTTGCTCAATATCTCGCATTTTGTCTTGATGGTTGACGTGAAGATTTTCTTTGTAGTATCGTCCATCATTAAATTTCTGTTCTGGGTGTTGAACTTCAACTGTGGTCTATCATCAACTTCCTTGAAGGCTTTTAACTTGATTTGGAGTGTTCCTTGCACTAGTTAGTGAGTGGTCGGAGCCTACATCTGTTCCCCTCCTTGATCTTGTTTCAAGTAGGCTGCGTCTCCACTTTCTTCATACTGAGATTAAGTCGATTTGATTTTTAGTGTAGTGTGTCTATCTGGTGAAATCTATGTCACTTTGTGGATATCCTTGTGCTTGAACACACTACCTCCAATTACCAATTCGTTGAATGCGCAGAATTCTGCAAACAATTCTCCATTCTCGTTCAACACCTCACCGAGCACTTCTCGACCCATGGTTATTTCTCTTCCTGTGTTGTCCACTCCCAGTTTGGCATTCATGTTACTCCACCCATTAGAATTTTGTTGTCGCCCATTATAATTATGATGTCATCAACTGAGGTCTTGTCCAGTGTTGATTGCAATTATCTGCAAAATTCCTCCTTCTTTTCTTGATCTGCATTATTTGAAGGTGAGTAGTGTAGCATGTACGATTGTGACTTTCCTTCCTTTTGAGTTGAACCTTGCTCTTATGATCCTGGTTCCCACTTCATGACAGCCTGAGATGCTCGTGGGAGCATCATGATAGCCAATTCCTCCGTGTGCTCGTGGTTGTCGTCTGGGTGACAATATCGGAGTAGATTATTGATCCTCCAGTTGACAGTTTGGAGAGTCCACTTCCATTCCACCTGCTTTTGCAAATTCCTAACACTTTGCTGCGATAACTTGTCATCTCGTTTGCAATCTGGTCAGCCTTGCTAGGTTCAAATATAGTGCGGACATTTTATGTCCCCACGTTTACTTTCGCTTTCATCGCGAGAAGATACATCGGCCAATTGACTTCCCGAAGGCTTTTATAAACCAGCGTCATTTCGTCTCTCCGATTTCAGCGAGGAATAATATTGTTTTCATTTTTTATATTTTGTTTGTGCTTTGAAGTTTGTTCAGCGGTTAGATAGTGAAATCGTTAACCAGGCGACAACACAGAAAGAAGGTTAGCAGAAGTAAGTTTTGATTTCAGAAGGTATGTACTGAGGACTTAGAACTACAGGGACTGCCTTACCTTAACCTTATGATTTGTGGAAAATACACAAAAATGGATTGCTTCATGGACCATTTCCTAATATGTCTTGTTGACCATACTGTGTAACAGAAATTACTACTAGAACTCCTGAAGCCACTTTACAAACAAGTTGTAAGGTACAGTTTAAGGGATGATTTGAAATTAGTTGAAAGTATTAAAGACTTTGGGGAAAATAATGTATTCATGATATCACATCATGTTTTATTTCTCTTTACTTATGGTCCGTAAATTTCATGTGCGGTGAAACGTCTGAGTTTCACGTGAAAGTTGAACTTCTTATCTCTTCTCTAAAGTAGCTTCTTCTGAGATGAACGATGAGTTTCAACACTTTCTGTAATAACGAGTTCTAAAAGCAGTGTGATGGTATGGCCGTGGGATCACCACTAGGTCCGATCATGACTGAATTTTTCCTGGTCAGACTGTAAAAGGAGATCCTTGAAGAAGCAATCGTTTTTCTGCAATTTTATGGCTGCTACATGGGTGATACGTTCATCATTCTCGAAGATGACACTGATGACAATACTGTCACTGATACATTTAACAACGGTCATCTGGCTACCCCTTTTGAAAATATGAGAAGAATGAGATGACTGCATATCCTTTCTCGATGTCTTATTAAGAATACCAGATGAATTGGCATAACGGAGGATATACAGAAAACTAACGTCAACGGGCTAGAGCAACAAAGTTCGTAGATCTATACCCTTGAGGCATAAACCAAACCCAATGAAGTGCTTGGGTCAACGCGCAAAGCACATATACCTTAATTATATGTTGGAGTCCATTGACATCATTATTATTTTCATTTGAATCGAAGCAGATCACTTATGAGTAATTCATACTGGAGGTTTATGGTGATTTATTGATTTCAGATTGGTATTTGTTTTGGACTACTACCAAATGGTGAACCATTGAAAACCTGGGAGCATTCAGATTCTTTTGTTTTAAGGTGATTATCAAAACCTCTTCAGACTTTACAGCTGAATCTCAGCATAAATTTCTGTTGCATGATCGAAGATTCAAGATTCATTGGCGGTGAAACAGTTTGTTTAAAACTCAAGTTTT